ATTTTTCAAGTTTTTCTTTATTTTAATCCCTCGGTTTCGCAGGGGCCATTCGAAAATCGAATAATTTTTTTTTCTTCGATGTATGATGATATTGCTCAACTTTTCCGGGGTATTTAAAAATGAGATAGCCATATGGAGATGAAAAAAAGATAAAAATTCCAATTCAGCTACCCTGAATTTTTTTGTATTTCGGAATAGAACATTGGCATGTTTAAAGTCAACTACGATATGAGTCTAACATTGTTGCAAATTTTTACCCTCATAACTTCACTCTTGTACCTAGCAGACTTGCCCAATATCTTTCGCAATGGCGTTAATTGCTCGAATTCACATGATTTTTCACTTATCATGATGATTATTTTTCCACGTACGGATTTTGGACAGTCAGGGCCAATCAGAATGCAGCATTTGATGACAAATGATAGGCTGAAGGAAGTTTTATTTCGGATATTTCGCACTAACATATATATTTTTTCGGTTATTTCGTACTCACATATATATTTTTCCGGATATTTCGTACTAACTCTTCAATTGTTCTCGGATGTCATTTTGAAGTTGCGTAAACGACACTCCTGACAAAAATCTGTACGTGAAAAATAATCCGACAAATACCCCTCGTGCTTCAAAATTATCTGGTATTTCCCTCAAACTTCCCTGCAAACAAACGATCGTGTTTTGCAGGAAAATACCTCGCGCAAGCGCCGGATTTTTAAACCTGCAAAACTTGACACTTTTGTTTGTTTACAACGAAGTTATCGGGAAATACCCGATAATTTTTAAGCACTTGGGGTATTACTACTGAATAAAAATTGAAAGCCAACGATAGCTCGGTCGGTAGGACGAGCGATTTCTAATCCGGTGATTCGGGTTCGAAACCCAATGGGTGACGATCAGGTTTCGAACTCCGAGAAATCAAACGTTGTCCGCATTTCTTTGGGAAATGACCTTGGGATTTCTGTACACAAACATTGGACAATAGATACAAAACATGGGAGCGCAATGAAATCAAAGGTTCCGAGTGGGGGTGAGAATAAACAACCGATTTCTCGGAATTCAGATTCCATACGAGCCATCGAGTTGCCTCAATAATAAACGTTTGATTAGTCCTTATCACACACTTGAGTGTTGAACATCTCACACGGTTCACTACAGTATCGTTAACAGAAATTCTCCGACGGTTATTCTCCTGTATTTATTCTCCATCAACTTTAATCAAGTTAAGTGATGGTATAAAATATTTCAATAGTGAAGTTTTAAACTCAGTCGATCGTTATTATCATTTTTTTCCCTTTTTTTTGAATGATCAGAACTGTTCTTCATTCCTATTCTACAAGATGCCGCATGCCGAAAGATGTGCAAATCCTATGCGAGTTCCTGGAGAGAAAGGTCCCAATGGAAAAGACCTGCGTTCAATCTCAGAAAGACTACAACAGACATTTACATTCTTGCCAGAAAATGCAAAAATATGTTGCTCCTGTAGGAAAAGAGCTTTGACTTACATTTCTGGATCACTACCCTCTTAATCTTCATCGAATCGGGAAGTCTCTTCATCGTCATCAAATGTTCCAGCCGATCGTTCGTCCAGTGCCACACCATTTCTAGTCGACATTTCTATGAGCAATATCGCAGGGAGTTCTTTGAGATCAGGTAATTCCTTCCATTCAATTGATCCTGATGGGGATGTGATTTTCAACGAAGCTTCAGAGGAGTACGATGCTCCAACAGCAGATGATGATTCAGAGACAGAGCACCACAGGAACATTCCAGCAAATTTTCGTTCTCCACGAGAATTGGAATTGGAAGAAATGTTGGATGGACTCAAAATTCAATACCATGACAGAATATTTTGAACGTATTCAACTCTTGACTATTGCTCCACCTTCATGGAGTGAGCGAAAGGTGAGCCGTGAATTTGGTACTACAAGGTACATGGCTATGAGAGCAAAACAACTGCGAGAACAGAGAGGAATATTTGCTTCAACAGTTGTGAAGGCTGTGAAATCATTGCCAACAGAGGAGTTGAAAAGGTCCGGAGTTTTTATGAGAGTGATAGTCGGATGATACCAGGGATGAAGGATAAAGTGTCAGTCAGAATCAACGACGTGAAGAAAATTATGCAGAAGCGGATGGTCCTCGAAAACTGGAATAATCTTCATGAGAAATATAAAATTACTCATCCAGAGTCTCGGGTGGGATTCAGCAAGTTTGCGGTTGAACACTGTTCATTGGCAGGAGCGGTACGCATGTGGTATATGTCTGTACCTATCATCAAAACTGTAAGCTGATGTTGGATGCAATCAACATTTCTACTCTCACTAAAAACTCATCATGTCCCCTTACCGACTATAAAGACTGACTTGCAAGACTCATATGCCCTAATCCAACGCCTGAATGCCACTTAGATATGTGTAAAAACTGTCCTGGAGTTGAAGGATTATCGCTCGAGCTGAAAGAACTCCTCCACGATGCTGCGATTGAAACTGTAGAATTCAGAACTTTTCAATCTGTGGATAGAACAACATCACACATCCAGAGACTTCCAGTGTAGGAATTTGTTGATGTACTTTGTGAGAGATTGAAAGTATTGAAATCTCATCACTTTATTGCCATACAACAAAACGCTTTCGTGAAATAACGAAAGGGGAATTTAATTGAGGGTGAAATTCTAGTGCACGCCGATTTTTCGGAGAATTATTCTTTCGTAGCTCAAGACGCTGCTCAATCGTTCCATTATAACAATGATCAATGCACTGTCCATCCTGTAGTGTATTATTATCGCCACGGCAATGGTATTCGACATAGAAGTCTAGTCCTCTTATCTGACTGTCTGGTTCACGATACTACTGCAGTTCATTTAATGCAACAGATTCTGATACGACACATAAAACAAGTCTGTGCTGTCGTAAACAAATTGATCTATGTTACAGATTGTGGTGGACAGCACTATAAGAATCGATATAATATGGCTAATCTTTTGTTCCATAAAAATGATTTTGGAGTTGAAGCAGAGGCGCACTATCATGCGACCGCGCATGGAAAGACGGCATGCGATGGCGTAGGCGCAGTCTTGAAGAGGGAAGCAAGAAGAAGAAGTCTGCAAATTACTAATGGTGAACCTATTCTCACTCCAGATGGTCTGTTCCAGTGGGCAAAGAATAATTTCAAGGATCTCGATGTGTTTTTCTACACTAAACAGACAAACGAGGGGATATGAAAGAACGGTTGAAAACAAGATTCGACAGTGCAAAGGCGATTCCAGCGATGCAAAAAAATCATGGCTTCATTCCTGTGGGAGAAAAAGAATTATTGATTAAGAGATATTCTTCTGCGACTACCGGAGAAGTTTTTCCAAAGGCGAAGAGATGAAATGGACGACGTACATTAAGATAGCCATTGTGATTCAGAAAAGTTCGATTTCAAATTGCTTTTTCTCTATAATTTAATGTTTATTTTTCAAATTACAAACTTAAAACAGACATATACTCCATGTTGATCTAAAAACTCATCAAATATTTGGTACTTTGCGAATTCTCATTGTCGTTTACGTAAGTAGAGCTGTTAATAATCAATAAATTCAACTTTTTTCGATAAAAAACGTTTTTTATCCATCACTACTTATGCATCTCATCTTCAAATTATGCCGAAAAATTGCACGCTCATCCTTTCATGAGGCATTCATCATTTTTCAGCAACAAAATTCGGAAAATCTAATTTTTCATGAGACAAAAAATTTTCTCTCATCTCCATATGGCTATCCCATTTTGAAATACCCCGGAAAAGTCGAGTAATATCATTATCCATTGAAGAAAAAAAAATTCTTCGAATTTCGAATGGCTCCTGCATAACAGAAGGATTTAAATAACAAAAAACTTGAAAAATGACTCATTATTCTTCCTCGTGGTACTGCCCTATTTTTATTCCAAAAGTATATGAAAAAACGAAAAAAATCTCTTTTTATTCATCAAAATCGGCCAATTTGTTCACAAGATATGATTTTTCAAATATTTGAGCTTTTTTTATTTGTCCTGGCCAAACACTTAATGTTAAAGGAGCGAAAATTTAGAGAAACTATGTACTTATGCAGTACTTGACTGGGAGCATGCTAATTGAAGATTCTGAGAACCAAAAAATTCTAGGGTGGCTGAGTTGACATGGAATGTCCCATTTATCGATCGTATTGTTCCATGGTGCCCTCGTCTGGTCACTTACAGCGAACGCAACAAAACTACTTTTGAACAGGTGAAGGTAACTGGTTGACCCATTCTATATGAGATGCAAATGTAGATTTAATATGATGGAAAGATAGCGAACACCAAATACTTTCAGAGTATCCAACAAAAGCGTTTTATCATTTTCATACGCTCGTTTGGACCGTGCGCGCTTTTATAGAACCTGTACCAAAATCAATGAAGGGCTACAGAAATCAATACGGCGCTGTCCCTTCGTTCGCGTTTCATTGTTCGATCAACGTTGGTGTACAGTTTTCACTATACTGCCCATGCATTGAGTAGAATAATTCGATTTGAATAAGAGAAAAAGTTAATCATCTTCATCACTGAGCGTAACCCGACCATTTCTTGATATAATTCGGCTCGCCTCCATGCATAAATAGTAGATTTGAAATTTTTCCTCATTTTTTAATTCCTATACCCGTGGGTGAAAAACGTTTTCAGTTTGTGATGTTTCCCCTAGTTACGAAGTTCGAACGCTGATTCCATCGTTTGATTTCTATCAAGAATTCGGTTGTATGATATGGAGCATCCTATGCAAACTTAGGTATAAAATAAAAGCTAGGGGTATATCTTGAGAAGTTCCCTGCTCCATCCACGAGACAGCTTTGTCATGAGTGATGATACCACGCAATATCCAAATAATATTCAGTGGCACTTGATAATATTTTGTGTTCCATGATATTGCGAAGAGAAAAACTCATAAATGATTACAGATGTCCCCAATCATTCCTCATTTATCATTAAAATGATCGTATTCCTTGATTTCAGACTTACACCAACGTTACTTGGTGGAGACGATAACGATGACTACCGTAACTGAGCGTCGAATAGTTCGTGAAATCAGCGAGGACTCCTGCCGTTCTTCGATAGGTCAAATTGACACTACATCGTTGCTTGATTCTCAAAGCTTATCAAGATCGACTCAAGAAGATGATGTACACCACGAAACCGAAGAGGAAGCTCAAGAAATTCCCTCAAAACCCCATGAATACAACAAAGATTTACCGAACTCAAATGAACTCTCCCTCACCTTTAAACTGGGTAACTTATCTCTCGTAACCAACAGCCGAAAACCAAATTCCGCAGTCCGGCAACTGTTCCCAGACCCCCGCTTCATCTCTCCACCACCAGTCCCAGCCAAAGCCGTTTCTTTATCAACCGACGAAGGCACTGATAGTGATAACTCAGAGGCTCAAAGACTGCTGCTAACCACGGAGAGCCTTCGCTTCTTTGATTCTGTAAAACATTCCAAATTGGCTGGCTCAAGAAGTGACTCTTCGGAAAGCGATTCCGCAAGTATAAAGCGAACAATCGAGCGCAACGCCCTTCGGAGAAGTCTCATCTGCAACTACGACATGACCTCGAAGAAGAAAACTCTCAAAAGCAAAGATTTAACTTTGGAAGAACGAATTCGCCGATTAACCTGCGTTGATCAGGACGGCGACAATATAGGCGACAGCACCTCCAACTTTCAAGCAAATGAATCCCAAAATTCTGCTGATTTGAATCTAATTCCAACATCCGGCGATGAACAAGTTTTGCGTTCTATAAATAATTGCCTGGATAACTCTTCACCTCTTGCTCACTTTCATCATCATCATCAGTCGGCCTACCCTAAAATCACAGATCTATCAAGCCAAAAAAAAATGGAAACCATGCCAGACTTGGGGATCGGAAATGGCGTCAATTTGATGAAAGATTTCAAAAATACGAATTCATTGAAGATGAATACCGATGCTAGAAAACAATTTCTGTCATCATTCACTCCATTTTCATGTGTTGCATCAACAGGTATAGACAGCAGAGAAGATTATTACCACATATCATCGGTGGTTCATCATAGGGATTCGATTGGATACAACTCAGACTCATCTTACAGTTTGGAGGATATTGAAGTGGCTTTAAGAGGTGAAGAGAGAAACTATAAGAATACTCCAGGTCCTCCGGACGTTACTAAAGGTACACCCACAGGAACTGGTCCAGATCCACCTGACGCCACGGCAGATGAGCTCTTAGCTTTTGTCGAACAGGACAAAACACGAACAGAGAGACTTAAACGAAAATACGACACCGAGGAGCACCAGGAGCTTTCTAAAAATAGAGATAACAACAGCACAATAGATGATGAAGACGATGAACTTAACGATTACGGATTCAACGCGAGACCTGCTGTACGAGGCATCAAACCTCAATTTCAATCCACTCCAGAAATTGTCAGGGAATTACGCTCGCAGGCATGTCCGGCATCTCTAACAAATGAACCCCTTGTTCTTTCTCCTCCTTGGTGCTCCTATGATCCCGACAATTCTGAAAAAAATGTCATCTTCGGGAAAGAATCTGAAGAACTAACTGGAGGTCATGATAATACGATAAAGCGTATAAACACCATGCAAAAACAAATCGATGACATTTATCAGACAATTGCTGAAACTACTGTTTCAGTACAAGAGACGATTAATCGTGGTTCTTATTTAGAAAGCACTTTACCCAGGATGATTCCAAAGGGGGTCGACTGCAGATATGATCAGCAAAATGAGCACTTTCATGATCATCGAAGTGAAGTCTACAGTACTCTTCCAAGTAAAAATAAAAGACCAGTTGTTATTACTAACTATCCTTGCGGGGGTATTCCAATACAAAACAACAAATGTTATAGGACGATGTATTTTGTTCCTTATAATGGGATTACTGATCCAACATACCAAAACATTGAAAAAAATATTCCTCCTGATTCGTCTGCGAATTATATAGGTCACATTGAGCGGTATCCGTTTCGAAGATCACGATCGGAATCAGAACGTTTCCAACAACCTGTTCAACAGCTAGAGCAACAGTCTCCAAGATATTATGTCGAGCCGTCAGCCGCTGAAACACCATCGTTTTATCCTCAACCTAGTCTTCATTTCCATTTGAATCACCCAGACAACTTTAGGATTAGACCACCAGGTATCACAATGCAGACAGTCCAATTACAACATCATCAGCATTCATCACAATATGCTACTTATGACATTCGATCAATTCCTGCTTATACCATCATGGTGCCCTCCAGGGCAGATGGATGCGCATATTCAAAACATCCTAGGAGGACTGCGCTTGATGGGCAAACACAGACCGTTTCCGTGACGCCAATGAACACTAGCATTGTTGTCACTGGGTTTAGTGGAAATCATGGTAATGCTTCCTCTTCTTCTTCCACATCGCCCGTAGTTTCTTCGCCAACAAAAATTCAAGAGCAGATGAACTCATGCAATGGTAGGAGGGAAGCGCCAGAAGGCGCTGCGAGATCGCGCACACATGATTTTGGAATACAATCAAATGGTATCAGCGACAATATTGTGAATAATTTCATGGAACAACCAAACCATGTGTCTGCACCAACCACTCAGAATTCAGTCTATTATGCCATGAATGTTTAATGTTTCATGAAGATATATCGGAGTTTTTGCAGATTTCATGAGGGCCACATTAGGTATCACTAGCCTTACAGTATCTCGGACATGATGCAGATGATGTTAGATTCAATTCCTGTTTGACATCATATGAGATATCCTTTGAATGTTGTTCAGACTCTCTCTATTTGAAAGGCTAGAGTCGACGAAAGTTTCACTGTATAAGACAATACCAGTGACATTTTCCCATTCACGTTTTCTTTTATTTTTTAGAAACCGATATACGTTGTACGAGTACTAGAAGAATTCTACATCTGACCAAAATGTTATTTCCTTACCATCTGCATCTTACTGTATTTGTATTTGTACACAATAAGCAAAGCCAAAAACACAAATCTCTGATTAGATAATAAATCCTTAAGTGATGTAACTTGCGTGAATGAGAAAAAATTATTTATGAAGTATGGGTCATTCGCAGAGTAAGTTATAATACTGAGTAATCATATAAGAAACAATATCGGAATTGTCACACAAAGTCAGTGGAAGTGTACAGTCGAGCACTAAAGTTCGTGAACAACCTGAACTTGTATCTTATGTATTCTGTTCACGAACTTTAGTGTTCGACTGTACATCAATATAAAAACAATAGACATAATAAGAAGTCGATGGAATTTTTCATCTTCGATTCTTGATTTTCATCTTTATCCAATTCATTCTGTCAAAAGACAGTGATAGGAGTGTAATTCATGAAGTCTTTTATTATTCCAAAAAATATATCCATATGAAAATTTTTTTTGTTTTCTTGCTGATCACGTGTCTCTCCGTTTTTTCACTTCCTTTCATCAAAAGTAGATCATACAAATGAGAATATTGATATCCCTTCAATATAAAACAAATTGATTTTAACATTTTTCAGAGATCCCGGAAAATCGATTTTGGAATTTCTTTGCTGGTCAAGATTTCCTGCGTTTCTCTGATCACCTCTCACTGAGATCGGATAGCGAAAAGAATAAATACGGGCCCATGGGGAGTGACGCTCGCCATGCGTTGAACCCTCATATGAAAAACCACTTTTCCGCCCGCGCATAGAAATATACTCGTTCTCTTAATTATTTGACTTGAAAAAAAGATCAAGCTGATGAGACGTGTGTCTCGCCAATGCTCTCCGTCAAACGCGAGAAACAATATAAATATAAATGATCTGTCTTGGACCAATTTCAGGTATTTGTTCCGGCCTGATCTGTATGAGGTGAACGTCCGTATTTGTTTCAATCCGTCTCTTACGTGGGATAAATTTGAAGGTCAGTCTAAGACAGATCGGATGGAATACACATCTGAAATCGATCCGAGACAGATCTTTTATATTTGTTGGAAGACTTATCTCCGGTGAAGAACATGGATGAGGCGAAGAAAGCGTTGACATTCCGAAGCCATAGGATATTATTTTTTTCAATTTTCTTGCTAAATGTTTTGTTCCGCATCGTTTCCATGCTATCTCTTTGAAATCAGATTTTTTAAAGAAGAAATATTGATATGCCTTAATTAAAAGAAAAAAATTATTTATGATTTTTTAGGAGCCATAAAATATGGAATAGTTTTTCTTCGTAATGATGATCTCCTCCAACTTTTTAGTGATGACTTTGTAGTTTTTTTAGTCTTCTTCATTTCCTTCCATTGACATGAAATTATAAAAAATATACGGCTATTCTCCTATTATTGGAACGAATATTCCACTTAAATGAGAAATGACATAAAGAACTTGAATAGGGTCAAAGTGGAACTCGAAAGATTCTTCAATGGAAGGAATATATACCATTAGATATCTACTCTACAATATGATATTGAAGATGAGATGGGTATAAATCGAATAGGAATCTAATAAACATTATGGGATCCCTTGAATCGATGTACCATTCAAATTCAGAAGAGGGACACTCTCACAATGTTCCCGTAGCGGACCATACTGTACTTTGTTTACGAGGTAATAAAGTCATCATTTGAATTGAGTGTATGAAAATGGAATTCATATATTCAGCTCATCACTATTAGCTGTCCGGCCGAACGATGTTCGAGCAAATTTCATATTTTTATATCATTCTTTTGTTGATGACGATAATTGATTGAACAATTTATTCAAGCTTTGGGAAGATTGAAAACATGAATAATTTTTTCGAAATTCTTGGAAAACTCCAAAAATTTCGAGAATTTTCTAAAAAATCCTTTATTTTTTTCTTAATTCTCATAAAAGACTTTCCAGAATTGACCAAATTTTTCTAAAAAAATCACGATTTTTCTGGAATCGGATTTTTCGGCAGTGTGATACATTACCCTACTCAACTGATTTGACCAAAAAAAATCAAAATTTCCGATAATTAGGTAAAATCGGGGCAAGATGGGACATTCGGGCTGAGCGGGAAGCGAGGGCAAAATGATACATAGAACAAAATGGAAACATGAACTAAAATTGAAAAAGATCCCAATGAAACCGGATGTTGAATAGAAGACAAACGAAAAGAAACGCTCGTAGAAATACATTGTGATTTTTTTTTCATTTACGAATTAACCTCCTGTGGATAATTTAGAATAGTATATTACGCAACAAGTGCGTAATGGGTTTTTTGGCTCGTGGGAAGTTTTGGCTCGTGGGAATCCCACGAGTCAAAAAACACCATAACGCACGGGTTTCGTATACTATTTTATGTCATAGGGCCCAGAATCCACGATTCTACCAAGCGAAGCGAGGTTAGAATCGCGTGATTCTGGGCACCTATGACATAAAATATAAATGTACATAGATTTAAGTTCTAGTTTTGGTTCATCTGGGTTCTTGACTACATTTATCACTATTGATTTTGAAATTTTTATTTTACATTTTTTTAAACTGGTGTATTCGCAGAGGCTCACAGTCTCTAGCCATCAGGGATGCGGCGATGGTAAATGGTCTAGGGCATCTATGAGTATCAGTCTTTCGTTCATAAGTTGACTGTCTTCAAAATACATTGTGATGTATTTTCTGAATTTTATTAATCTGAACTGGCAGTAACATTGTTAAATTTAGATATATTTCTATAAGTTTCAACATTTTCGTTTGATTCGTCCTCTTCCTGCGGCCTGGGATGGGAATCTTGGAACTCGATATTTTTTTGCAGCTTCTCAATAAATCAATGCATTGCTCTGAACATCCCTGATTGGTGTTTGTATTGAGTAATGATCCCATGATCAACAGCTTGTTGTCCTCCGATATTTGTAAACCATTTCATCACCTTAAGATAAGAGAAAACTATTCATTTCGAGCAAATATCTAAGAAGAGTGAAAAATGATCCGAAAAATAGTGATACATCACTGATTGTTAAAAAAAATAAGACCGTGATTGGATGTCATAACAGGATCGTTATACGTTACATTAAAATTTGACCAAGGCACTGACTGCGAAGTGATTGATGATAATTTCAAATCCATTGTCCCTTAATATATTTTTTTTATATTCCGGCCCTTTCTGCCCTCTGATTGGCTAATCGGCCCTATCCAACCCTACGCATGCGGCTGTGGATTCTACACTGCACCGCATTCGCACTCCTATAGAACATAGGAGTAGCATGGGAAACCACAGAAAACCCATGCCGGTACAGGCGGTCACTATATTTGCGACCTTCCGCTCGCCGGAGCCTCCGGTTGAACAAGTCGGTTCCACGGGGAATCGAACTCACAACCTTTCGCACACTAGGCTCGCACCTAGCCGCTTCGGCCACCGACATCGGTTCCCTATAATATTCATCTTCAATTAATTTCGAATTGAGTTCGCGCCCTTATCACTCACGGAAGCAGCGCGCGTGCACCACTGGGCTCGAATCTGCTAAGCTGTTGCATGTCATAGAAAATAGTGCAGTATTTATATCCACAACCACCTGATATTCATCTAACCCGTGACTTACTACAATGAAGTGAAAAGACAATCTAACCTTAATGCGCCCTTTGTGAAGTATAAATTCACGATTGAAATGAAAAAGTTAGGTGACATTTGTTTCCGAAATTTCGAAAAATTCAAGAATCACAAGCGAGCGGAGGTTCGAGCCCATCCGACAGAGGGCATGTGGCTATTACTTTTAGCGTTATTAGTCTCTTTCTTTTTTTATTGCTACCAATTTCTGGTAGTCAGTTGGGATGGCGATTCCCAGACGAACCACGCAAAATCCGAAGTCCTCCATCCGCAATGGAAATTCTCGAACGAAGACAGCCGGAGTTTGTCACCTTCGGCCGCTTCCGCTCCAATTTCCCCAAAAGCTTCCAAAACCAAAATGATAGATGCCAGCTACACTTGTGAGAAACCGTCTTTGAGCGCCAGCCGATTTTTAGCAAAGTGGAATCAGCAGAACCGCAACCGTAGACGTAAAGAAATGAAAAGAGAAATAAAAATTTAGTAAAGAGTAGTAAAGTAATGCCGATTCTGGGACAATGGTCCACCAGAGACATGGCCAAAGGGCTCCCGCGAGGGGGCCCAGTGTGTGGAAGGGTTGATTGAGTCGCGGATCGCGGTTTTAATTCGCACATCAATTAATTTAACTCACGGTTTGATTCATGAGTAAATTAAATTAATTCGCGTTTTTTCGATCAAATGGGGCTCTATCGACGAATTAGTCAATTCACCTCCGCGAGGGAGTGGGTGAAAGGTTTCATTACTTGGCAGGTTACCGTGTAATTCGTGGTCCAATCCGCGGGTCACGGTTTAATTCGTGGTTTAATCAATTTAATTGGCGGTTTTTTCTGTCAAATGAGATGATCGACGACCTGGTTAATCCACCGCCGCGAGAAGAAGGGTGGAAGGATTAATTAATTAGCGGTGTGATTCACGGGTTAATCAATTAATTGGCAGTTTGTATTCACGACCTAGTCAATGCACGCTCTCGAAGGGAATAGGTGAAATGGTCAATTAATTCCCGGCTTTATTCGCGGGTTAATCAATTAATTCGCGCTTTTGGTTCTAACAAGGAACGAGGTGTCCCCCTCCGATTTCGATGAAACTTAAATATGTTATAGGGGACCCAAAACTAAGGGACACGTATTTTTTTTAGCTACCCATATTGAGTTTTAGGGGGTGAAAGTGCTCTCTGAATTTGACCACCTCTCGGGGTCATTTTTCGATTGCACACATAAGGAAGCTTTTTGAACAACTTTTTCGCAAGTGTATCATGGAGGTCACAAGAAATGATGAAAATGCGAATTAGAACCGTCTCCGGGGGGTGAAATATGGAGGGTAAGATAACCCTTGTGAAAGTTCATTTTTCTCATAGAAAAAAAACTTTTGATGGAAATCCCATGGGATAAATTCCATTTGAAAAAGTAGAAAAAAATACAGCATACCTGTTTTGATATGTTTTAATCCAAATTTAAAACTTGAAAAAATAGATTTTTCGTGAATTGCGAAATTTCAAACTTTTTCCTGTACCTTATATAACAATTAAGCATGTCATGTTATGACACTGGTCAGCAGTGTCACGCATGATATGCTGATTCAGTAAAATAATGAGTGAAGCAAATTGTAATCAATTTCTTCACTTTTATTCAATACATTATTGCTTAAGATTACAACATCATTCTGGGGCATAACATTCCTCCCCCCTAAGGAAGAAAATTCTTATCCTTAGGAATTTCCTCCTCCAACAACACTTTATATTTTGTTCAGATATTACAATTAAATAACAATTAAATAAAAAATTCATATCATTAGAAATTTTCTCCCCCAACAACCACTTTACATTCTGTTGAGATATTGTAAGTAAATTACCATTAAAT